TTTCCATTCCTGGAAGATATTGATCATAATCTCTTTGGTTGCGATTATCAGCGAAAAGCTGAGCGAGTAAACATGCATTTGAAAGAAAATTTTGAGCATAAGGATTATAAACAGAAGAAAAACAAAAGGTCATGTTATATAATAATTGTAAAAATTGCATATATCTTTCACATTTATCCCAATCATCCTCATATATAGCGTTGTTTGGAAATTTTCCGTTGTAAAAAATTGTTAAAGGATTCTTATATTCAATTGCCTTGGTTAACATGTCATAGGTGGAATTCCACCTAGTTGGACAATCAATTTTGATTTTTATTGCTCTTATCTTTTGTTGTCTTAGAAAACGTTTCCATTCTTGGTATCTCATGTTTGAGCTATTAATAGATATAATAGTTTCTCTAATGTTGTTATAGTATGGACCAATTGCTCTAATTCCATCTTGTACACATAAGTTAAGAACATGGCAAACACATCTAGTATGAAGTGCGTCTCCATCTAATATTACATCGGTTAATTTTGTTTCACATAATTAGCAGTATATGTCATTGAGGTTGCATTGTCAAATGTCATAGACATGATTTTTTCTCTAAGGTTGTATTCAGTTATAGCTTCCATTAAATGGTGAGCAATGTTAATACCGGTGTGGGGGTATTCTAGCATTTTGAAATGGATTATTCGTTTTGTAACAGCCATTGATCATCTACCCAATGGAAAGTCACACATAAATAGTGATATTTATAACCACTATCCCAAGAATCGGCAGTCAAAGACACTCTACAATTAAGTTTACTCAATTCGTCTTGTAACCGCATTTTGTACTCTAGGAAGTTTTTCATGGTGGCGGAACGAACGGTTTTCCTAGAGATTCTTTTATGTTAGGGTTGTAATGCTTTATTAATGTAAGTGTTAAATGGGTCACTTTCGGAGAAAAGAAAAGGTTTTTCGGCGTGTACTATCATTTTCCCTAGTTCATTTCTATACCTCTCATAGTTGTAGGTAAAGCCGTGTGGATGGAATTGGGAAATTTTTGGCTGGGTTGGATCACTAGTTGGTTGTGCACATGTTCTAAAGTGTCTACTTAAGTATCCTGTCCCGAACTTGGATTCTGCTGGGTATATTTTACCACATGTTTTACATTTTGCTCTTGTTTGGGCTTTATTTAGTACGTTACAAAATAATTCCATACATCACTTTTGCGGCTTTTGATATTTACCATGTCACTTTCGGTTAACCACTGCTCTTGTGTGTTTGGGAATTGGGTGTTTGTAGATTCGGGGGTTTGTTGGTTAGTAGTAGAACCGGAGGCATTTAGGGTATCTTATTCGCTACCTTGGCTAGTATAAAAATTTTGTGGGTCAAAGAAATTAGGTGGGAATTGACCGAATTGTGGAAATTGATTTTGTGGAAATCCGGGTATAATTCATATTATTCATGTGATAGGGTTGAAAACCGAAAGTACCATCGTGCCTAAATTGTTCAAAGCCTAGGGAGACGTTATCGGGTCATTGGTTGGAATGGACGGACTCGGAATTTGGGGGCTCATTGGATTAGGTGATTCCCTAGAATTATCACCACGGACAAATTGGGCTTTTCTAGAGGATGATTGGTTCATTTTTGGTGATGCCATAATTAACAAATTAACAATTTGAATAATAACTAATTAACAAAAATTATAATGAATAACAACAATTTTAACAATAATAATAATAATAATAATAATTAATAACAACAATTATAACAATTATAATAACAATAATTATAATTAATAAAAATAATTATAACAATAATAATAACAACAATAATAAATTAAAGATTAGTTTAGATCTTACAACCGTGCTTCAACGCTTTCCACTAATCACGATTACGAACTTTTAATTTTTTCAATATTAAAAGATAATAAATTAATAATTAGAGAATTTAAGATATTAAGAGAATTATTAGAGAATATAAGAGATTAAGAGAATTATTAGAGTATATAAGAGATTAAGAGAAGAGATTGTGAATTTGTGATTTGGAATGAAGAAGATGGAGCTATTTATAGAAATTTAGGGGAAGAAGAACGTTGGAAACAATGGAGGAAGAAGTCGTTGAGCAACGGTCGACTCCATTAGAGACGTTGTGCTTCAACGGTCATAAAGACAGCTGGCACGCGGACCAAACACGGGCTGGCATGCGGGCTTGATGGCGGGCTCGTGCCGTGCCGTGCTGGAAATCACCAACCTCTGAACGTGGCACAGCCCACGACCCGTCTTCCGACCACCGTGCCGTGCCCCACTGTCCTCCAGGTCCTGCCGCGCTGCCCGCGGGCTGCCCCGGCCGTGCACACCAGTATAATATGAACATTTGGTAAAAAAATCTGAACACTTTTTTAAAATGAACATTTTGTAAAAAAAATCTGAACATTTTTAGTCACAAAATTTGAACATGAACATCCAGTTTTATATGTTCATATTTTATAACGTAATGTTCAATTTATATGCAATAAATGTTCAGTTATATTACAAAACTATTGAATTATCTCGAGCCAATAAACTTCTTTCAAAAAATTGTTGTTCATTATAAAATAGTGTTATGTTCATATTTAAATTTCAATATTCATTTTCAAATAATAAATGTTCAAATTCGAGTAGTATCATATTCATATATATTACTGCTCATTATAAAATAGTGTAATGATTATATTTGAAAATTTCAATGTTTATTTTCAAAAATTATATGTTCAAATTCTAACAGTGTCATATTCATATTTTATATGTTCTTTTTCAGAAGTTATAGTTATAAACTTTATTTATATAATTGTTAACGAAAAATAGATTATATTAATTCATTATAAATTCTTTTATGTTCATTATATAATGTACTAAATGTTCATTTGAAATATACTAATATTCATTTTATTTATTAAATCCCAATTAAGGTTCATAATTCCTTAACCCAAATTAATTAATGTTCATATATCGATCTAACTCAAATGTTCATAAAAAACATATACATGTTCAGATATCTAACATAATATGTTCATAATTACAAAACTTAAAAAGGTTTTTAAAATACATAAATCGAAAACAAAATAAATTTTCATATGCAAAAAATCAAATGTTCAGATATATATATAAATTTGCGACCCTAACCCGCCACAGCTTTAAATGGGTCAAGCGTCCAATAAATAAATGGGACGAGTCCAATACGGAGTAAGAAAAATATGTAGTAAACTGCTAGTTTTGATTTTTATCTTTGATGATACACTTCATTAAATTTTGATTACTAATATTACATCCAAACTTAATCCTAATTAACTACAGCTATCAGAGCATTAAGTAAACGTTAATAATATCATCAATATTGACTTAACATAACTTGACTAATAGTAAAGCAATTGTAGGGACAAGTGCTAAGGTTAAAAAAGGGCAAACAACCTGAAAAAGTAGGTTATGGGAGTGAGAAGTTACCCTCATCTCCCATTTCACCACACATTGTCTTTAAGACACTTGTTGTGAAATGAGAAGCCCTAGATTTTGATAATCAAAATTTAATGGAGTGTGTCAAAGATAAAAGACAAAATCAGAAGTGTATCAATTAGCAATTCCCTAAAAAAAAAAAAGGGTAATATTAAGTGTTAAACAACTCCATTGCATCCTTCAGTCAACATCAAATTCGACTCATTTTTTATTTTGATCTATTATATTGGGTGATTTCGAAATCAAGGTTTTTTGTTTTTTTTGGTAATCAAATATGCAAATTGACGACCCTTGTTTAAGGGTTTTGAGTCGTATATGATTCATCTCAAAATTCTTTATTTCTCTCCATGGTTGGCTATGACGAATGTAGGAAACTCAAAAGAGTCACATACCTGTTCATCTACCGAGGAGAGAGAAAAAATGGGTGTAATCTTATTGAATCTTTTATAACCTATACTTTAATCGAGTTAAAAATAAATAGACTTGGTTCATATTAATTTATTGTGCACCACTTATATTAGAGAGACTATGAACATTAATTAATAATAAGTCACTATGATGAAACAATAGGGGTGGGCAAAAAATCCGATCCAAACGATCTGTGATCCGGTTGATCCAATCCGAAAAGTTGGATATCCGCTCCAATTTTTTTAATTTCAGATATCAAAAACTTTTCGGATCACGAATTAAGAAAAATCGGATATTCGATCCGATCCGATTTTTTAATATAAAAAAATTAACTAATTTTGCAACAAAGTTCCACTTTTAATATTAGCTCTAAGTAAAATGTAATAATGTATTTGTAATCTTGGATTTTTAGTCAAGTGATTTTTTTTTTACAAGTATTTTTCCGTTGCCTTAATAATCAAGTGAACCTTATTGCATCATTGTGCTTGAATTTGTAGCGTTTATTTATTTTTTTTAAAAATTATTATGAAAGTTCATAAAATATAAGATTTTAAACAACTCAAATAGGGGCATTTTACCAAAAAAAAAAAAAAAAAATTCAATATTACTATACGGATCGGATATCCTGTGATCCGATCTGAAATCGGATATCCGATTTTTATCGGATCAGATACGACACGTAATTTTCTAGATCTAAAATTTTCGGATATTCGAAATGACCAGCCCTATGAAACAAAGGTTATTATGTCAAAATAAAAGTCAATGTGTTAATTTTTTTTAATGAAAGTTTTAACATACTGATCATTATGAATAATAATAAAGATCAATATGATCATAAGAGTTTTAATTTTTTTAATGCCGTAAGTCAAAACTTAAAACTTGTATAATAATTGTATCCCATCTCCCCGAAACATGATTCTCATGACAAAGTACATTTGTTAAGTTGGCGGCATGTTCCCAAAATGCAACCAAGAGGGGGTAGGAGATGCTGAAGAGGCACCCTTTCCCTTTTCCCCTACCCAAATTTATCATTGTTGTTACGCGTTAATCAATGCCTAGTAAAGATTCAGGAACTTGTATTTTAATGGCGATGCATTGAACTATTAGGAGTAGAGCATTCATAATAATTGTGCAAGTTGCATCGTTGCTCATAAAAGAAACTGAAATAGTTCTATGAAATCTGAATACAGTGCTTTAACCAGCAATGTTATACACTAAAGAGGTGATATGACAAAAGTAACACAAAAAAATTGCAAATCAGTCTAATTAGCACTACAAATCAAATGAGCTAAACCAAAGACAATCCCAATCTTAGGCAGGAACAAAGTCGATCATACAAGGGAGACAAGGCTGTTAATATATGGAAAAACTTCATACCGAGAATCAGAAGGTGATATATTGCACAGTGTTGTAGTTAGGGTTCTCATATCATGAATAAAGACCTTGCCATCAGCTTCGAGTACAAGCATACCATCCCATGTGAGCAAAACTCGTAGCTGATTATTTTTCCCAAGTCCCATGTCTGCAGATTTCAACTGAACATCATGCTTCATCATCCAAGGGCCACCAGCCTTAAATTTCGTTGGCATTGTATTGCTATGTATGTTTCTCAACACATTCACCTTAATGGAAAAACCAGTTGAAGACGTCCTGCAGAGCTTCCCATCCATCATCCCAAGGGATGTATTGGCATATGGCTGTCTGTTGATGACAAATGCCCCATAAGCAGAAGGTTCCGTTGCCTTTTCTTTTTTCAAGTCAAAGATCAAAAGCTTCCCACAAGTTGTAGGCCAATAGGTAACTCCATTCACAGTAATTCCTTTTAAAAACGTAAGTCTTCTACTGCTAAAGAACATCTCTGACGCAACTTTCCAAGAATCTTGCAGCGATAGGTAGATCTCAAATTCATACGCTTCCTCAATGTCAGTAGAAGCAAAGATGCATACCACCTTATAATCAGGCAAGAAATTCAGCAGTGATGGTTCAAACTCAAAAGCAATTGTAGGATCAGATCCATGATTGGCAGTAGGCTTAGGAAGTTTCTTCCACTGCTTATTAGCAGGATTGCAGACATAGTATGGCTTATCCCCAGAGCGGCCTTGGCAGCAAAGCAGGCCATTAGAGGAGGCCTTCACATCAACTGCCTCGGGCAAAAACTTCAGTTCTTGGTCAGGCACACCATGAGCCATTCGGTCAGGGGAAATGAAGAAGGGAGGTTTTCCTGGTGACTGTAAAAAAAAACCCGAGATTGAGGAGAATGCAATCGACTGATTATGGATGAAGAAGGGAGACGAGATTAGAAGCTTCCAATCCCTACACACTGCACGAAACCTTTGAAGGGCTTTTGCTGGGAGATAGCGAAGGGCATGCTCTCTGAGAATCTCTCCGAGGTCCATGTAAATCCTTTGGGACTTACTCACGTCCCCAAAAGGTTTCTTCATTAATCTATCCATCCTGATCAATGTCAAAGAAAATACAGGTTAATCAAAGCCCTCAAAGATCTCTCGAGGAAGCTGCAATAGATATCATCTCACTCTTCATACATTTTATACGCTATAGGCTCAATCCCACAATCCAAAGTTCGTCAACTTCCTTGAGAGTCGATGCTCATATAACAAGATTTACACATTTGCCCTTTATCCCAATTATTGCCTAGTACAAGTGTGATTACATTCCTAATCCACCACATCTACTTTTCATTTACTCTCCAATACAGAATTGAAGTTTAATACAAAGTATGCAATTTCAACAACAACAACAGCAACAACAACAACAACAGCAGCAGCCGCAGCAACAACAACAACAACAACAACAACAAAAAGTCAAACAAAAACCACACCTTCAATTTTAATTTTAACAAATTTCTTTCTTTCGCGATCCTACCTGATTTTCCATCAGCATAAAGATATTTTACCTAAATACGTGACATTGATCGATCATCACATTACCCTTAATCATTATTGCTAAGAGTTATTTCCCAATTTTTTAAACTCATCAACTAACCATTGCCTTCAAAATATACTCTATAATTAATAATCTAATTCTAATCAAGCAATCATACAATTAAAATCCACAAATCATCAATGAGAGACGCAATTCACAATGTACAGTACATAAAGTAGAACAACGAAATTGATTTTGGCAAACCTCTACCTCTAACCTCTAATTGATTTTGGCACACCTCTTTACAAGAAGAGCACAGAAAACTGTGTTTTCACTAAAGGGTGCACCAAAATCAATTCTTGGCGTGTAAAAAACCATTTTCTCATCTAACAACAATTGGTTGCAATTAAACTAATTAGGGTTTATAAATAAAATTATAAGATTACGAAAAGTTAATAACATACAGAGTACCGTATAGTGTATTAGTAAAACCCTTTAATGTTACAGAATAATTCGACAAATAAACAACAATATTCAAAGTATAATTCTGTAATTTAAATAAAATTTCTAGTAATTTGCTCTTTAGTTGAATTTTACCAAAATTGTATCAAAAAAATTTGATCTTTCGAGATCATACACACTACGAGCATTAATCAAGACCCAATTTAATCATATTCGAAAGGGCAAAGAAAAAAAAAATGTAGAAAAGAATTCAGTAATTTCAATGAAGCAAAAGTAAACAGAAATTAGGACATTCGTATACCTTGGCCGAAATTATCTTCCTGCCTATATTTTGCCTTCAAATTGAAGTCCTTTCCCAAGAGTGTCGAGTCTCCGATAAAAGAGAGAGTTTGATGAATAAACAAGTAATAATATATATATATATATATATATATATATATATATATATATATATATATATATATATATATATATATATATATATATATATATATATATATATATATATTATAGAGTAGAAACCTACTTGTATGTCGGAAAACTGGTCACAAACTCACAATGGAAGGGTAGTGATTTACTGATAACCTATTGACTTTGTCTTTAATAGGTGGTTTTTTAAAAAATAAATAAATAAAATGTGGTTAGTTTAACAAAGGGGTGATTATTGACAAAGTTTCCGATATTGACTTTGTCTTTAATAGGTGGTTTTTTTTTTAATATAAATAAATAAATCAATCAATAATAACTTAATACTAAAACAGACACCGGAAGTAACATGTGTCACGTCCTGGTGCGGTTTTTCCTTCAAAACTCCTCCTCCCCTTTCAGGAATTTTTTTTTTATTTGGAATATTTTATAAAAAAACTATAATAATATTATTCATAACTTATATATTATCTCTATATAAAATGTATTCCTTTTTATTGTGTTCTAAAATTTTCCATGCACATTTACGTTTTCCAACTCTTTTGTAATTATCTTTTAAACGAGTATTATTATGTTTTACCGAAAAAGTAATAATAAAATTGATTCATATCGAAGTAATTGATATTAAATAAATTACTTTAAAACATCACTTTAATTTTTTATTTTTCAAATTCCTTTTTAATTTGTTTATTAGACTAATGGAGAGCATTAGATATGACCATAAAATAAATGTTGTGTTCGACAACTGTATTATATGTCTGATTCAAAAATATAAAATATCAATCAATTTTTTGTTATTACATTATTAAAAAAAAAGTTAATATCTTAGTAAATACAAAAAAGTTATTATCTTTTGCTGAAACACTTTATTGAGATAATAATTTATCACATTCGACATTCATAAATAAGTTGCATTTTAAAAAACACGGCAGATATAGTGACATATTCTTGTGTTTCTTTTTTTTTTTGGATAAATAGCTATCATCGACAAATAAAATTTTAAGGCAATAAACAAACAATGATCAAACTAGAATTATTGGATAGCTTTCAAACACATTTTTATATAATAACAAAGAGCAACGATATAATGTACAACATCAATCCATAAACAGAAAATGTACTACTTATAATATAGGTTAGTGTTGCCTAATTATTGACTGTTATTGCTTTAAATGATCTAAGTAGTATTTATTTCCATTGAAATTATTTTATTGGATATATAGATGATAAATTCTTTAATTTGTAATTTATATATTTACATGTATGTTGTGACAATAGTTTTACCGTAGATTTTAGTTTGTTGTTTGATTAATGTTTTGATGATTATTAAAAGGCATTTATAAATAAGTCTTTAGTCATATAGTCACTAGATTCTATAGTTTTATTGGGAATAATATGCATTATAAATGTAACATACTATATTAAATATTTTCAACTCAACTAATCAACAATAAGTTTTTTTCTTTCTCAATTGTAGTTTTAATGAATTTTGCCTTATTATTTTATATTTCTATATGCAATGCATTTGTTTATTCCATATGAGTTGCCTCATTTTTATATTATATCAAAATTCATTATGGGAAAAATATTATTACTACCGTGCATTGTACGAGCACTAATCTAGCTTAATACTAAAATCACAATTTGATTTTTTTTTCTTTTTTTTTTTCATTTTACATGACATTTACTATTTAAACATTGACTACACAAGATTCACAATATATTTACCAAATCAAAATTGATTTTGGTAAATTTAAGTTAGTAAAAAATAAAATGAACATTGTACAATTTTCAATATACATTAAGTCAACGCCTTTTGCATTTTTTAAAAATGGAAAGAATATAAAAATTTTTATCATCTTAGCCATAATATACATATCTCCTATATAAGTTAAGATATTTTTAAAATAATAATAAAAAATAAAAATAAAAAAAGCTATACACTAAAACAAATATAGGAATGACGACACGTGATTTATAAAAAGTAAAAACTAAATTTTCAATCAAATAGTGCATAAATAACAACCGTTTTATGTTGAATAATGGAGACCTTGAATTAAATTAATTATCTGCTTCCTCTGTACTTATATACCTATTACAAAAAACACAAACTATCATGTCCTCCTCTCCATCACCATTTGAATTTATTTTATTATAATTTTTTCATGAGAGAACTTTTATAATTCCTTTTGCCTTAACACTCTATCGTTCTCATTCATCTCTAACATTTAAATCCCTTTAACATTCTTCATCTCTAACAATAAGAATAATAACATTTGGGTTGTCTCGACTGTCGACTGACATACACCCCAAGCCAATAAGCTTAAGGAAAATAATTTCACAAAGTATAAAAATTTTACCTGGCATTTGATATGCTTAGAATGAGACCCATCATGGCCATCAAACAAGGTCATACCAATGCCACTAACGTCTATACCCATCAACGTTGATCCTAACTCCTAAGACATTCAAATTTCATTATCTACAATTACACTAGCCTTAGACAAGACACGACAGTTCTATTGTACTATCATATCGAATTGGCTACTTCGTATAATTTGTGATACAGGATTGCTCCAAAGCTGGGTAAATCTTTAATAAGGGTCATTCACTGTCACAGATGTAAAATATGGAGATACAACATTTATGTCAGAAAATTTAGATACATCATATAGCTTAACTAAATTCAACATGTATTTAGATACATATACTATACATAGGAATAATACTCTGAAACCAAGAATTTTACTGATCATATTAGGCAAGATAATACTGTAATACGGAATCATCCTGTTCACCAATTTCCAGTATAAAACTCAAAGTGATCCCTGGGCTGTCTAATGCATTAGTCACTAAAGGCACACCAGGCTGTTACATAAGGAACAAAAACACTGCTTCTGTTAAAATTCTTCCTTAGCGGTCACCTTTGTAGTCTAACAGACAATTACACAGCAAGTGCCAGAAGTTTGAGTATATACATAAGTAATAATCCTGTTCATCAAACACCGGTATAAAACTCAAAGTTGATCCCTGGGCCGTCTGATGCATCAGTCACTAAAGGCACACTAGGCTGTTAACATAAGGAACATAAACACTGCTTCTGTTAAATTCTTCCTTAGTACTCACATTTGTAGTTTCTTTAGTACTAAGACCATAGGACAAGAATTTTTTGCCTTTTGGATACACAATCACATCGCTTCCCACAGACAAAAGATTTACTTCACAATCATTTGCTGCATTATCGCCAGTACCTGCATTATTATATAGCATAAATTTTTTCAGTTCCCATGTCTTGCATTCAGCTCCCATATGCATGGTATTTGCATACTCATTGGACAACACCAATATGCTTAGTTCACAACCTTTCCTGTGTGATACACAAAGTTTTCTGTCCACATTGCCCAAGGTACGCGTTCCATACATTCCATAGCATGGGATCACTTTCACACGATTTTTCTTTAGATCAAAACCAATCACATGATTATTTGCCAACCAGTACACAAACCCGTTCAGATGAAAGCCACCTCCCTTCAATATCCTTCCCTTTTCGCCAAAGTAAATCTCAGAGGAAATCTTCCACGAGTTCTCAAGTGATGAATAGATTTCAAACTCATAAGCACCATCAAAATCAGTGGAGGGAAAAGCACAAATCAGTTTATAATCAGCCACAAAGTTTAGCAGTGATGGCTCAAATACAAGTACCACAGTTGTGTTCTGTCCATGGTTAGCTTCAGGGTTAGGAAGTTTCTTCCAGCACTGGTTGACAGGATTGCAAATATAATATGCCTTTTCATTAGTGCGACCTCGACAGCAGAGTAAGCCATGAGATGATGCAAGCAAATCAACAGGCTCAGGCAAGAACTTCAAATTTGGGTCTGGGATTCCATATGCCACTGGATCAAGGGATATAAAGGAGATAGAGCCATCAGAAGACTGACAAAAGAAGCCGGACAAAGAACGAAAAGCAAACGATTGGCTGTGTTCAAAGAATGGACTTGATATCTGTAGTTTCCAGCCTTTGCACACGGCTTTGAACCTGCAAAGAGATTTAGCAGGAAGGTAACGGATAGCGTGCTCTTGGATTATTTCTCTGAGATCCATATAGATCTTGTCCGGCTTGGCCACCACATTAGAATTACCCAGCTTCTTTCCTTTGTCCATCCTAGTCATATCACAACCCCAAATCTTAATAAGATCTACAATCAATTGGAAAAGAAGCATAATCAAACCAACACAATCCGTAATTAACTTATTATTTGCATATCATGGCAGCCATACAATGACACATAATCTCGTCTCAACATCATAATTCATACCCACCCATACCCAAAGTCTAAGAAACAAGTACATACTCATTATGTTATCACACATTCACACCCACAATGCTCGAAAATAAACCCACACAGTTTATGCAAATTCACTTTCATGGGATCACGAATAAAATAAATAGCATAAATTATGTAAACTTAATATCTACCCATAACAACTGCACAAATTACAGGACATTATAGCAACACTAGAACCCATAAACATTTTGTTCATCTTCAGTCCGGTGGTAACATTACATTAGCATATAACAGCATAAATCATTCAAATCTTGATAATTTTTAAAGAAAAAAAAATTGTACTTTAAAGAGAATTTACAGAATCATAATCTATTCCCAACATTAAAATCAGCTCTAATTAGCTAAAAAAACAGAAGAAAATAAAAATAAAAACTAACCAAAAATTGACCTCGTATTAGAATTTAGAAATAAACAAAGCTAGCCCAATTCTCTCGTCCCAAGAAACAATCAAGAAAACAGCAAAGGGAAAATGGGGTTTAAATAATGAGAATTAATAATTATACATTACATTAAATAGATTTCTGGAAAATAGCAAAATGGGGTTTAAATAATATAATGATTAACAATCAAAACAAAATTGAAATAAAATGGAAATGCAGATTAAAGCATGAAGAAAAATACTATTAAGATTGAAGAAGGATCGGGATTAAAGAGGAAGGAAGAGTTACCTGATTAAGAGTGTGTGTGAAAATACCAAAAATTGTGTCCTGATTTATGAAAGGCGTTAGGGATTTTGACTGGAAGCTAGAGTCGTTATGACCTTTTTTTTTTTTTTTTTTTTTTTTAACACAGTCGTTATGACCTTTGTTTGACGGAGGAAAATCGGTTTTCCATCCCCCAATCAGTGTTTGTTCTTTTATTTTAAACTTTTTGAGTTGGTATTACTGTATTGTAAGGATTTTTCCTGCCCCCGGTTTACAGTATGTTAATGTAGATCGGGTAGTTCGCACATGCCAAATTAATTTCCTCTCAATTGATGTACGCTGCTACTCTGCCAGAGGAGAGAGAAAGTGAAACTATGCAGTAGGAAAAGAAAATTTCGCTATTAGAAAAAAGAGAAAGACCTAATCCTAGAGGCGTATTCAATTGATGATGGAGGCGTATTCAAACTCCATTGATGAATAATATGAAGAACTCAAAATTTTCTATTAAAATCAACCTAAATTTTGCAATTATGTTGGATATGAAATAAATTCAATTGATGATGGAAATAGCATTTCAAACTCTCAATTTGGAGAAATATAAATATTAGGAAGTTATCACGGGATGTATTCAGTTTTTTTATTTTGATATTTGTTTGTTTAAATTTTGAATAATTGTTTAAAATCATTATGTAGTAATTGAAAATCTAGAAATCAAGTTGTTCCTCATATATTAGAAGAAAACTAGTATTCAGCCTGTGCGATACACGGGCTAAACTTGTATTGAATTATTATTAAAAGAGCGAAATGTGATAATATTACAACACCAAATTATAGTGATAGAAGTTAATACAAAAGTTAAGCACAAATTGTGAATTTAAAGTTGCATATCTATGCACAACTTATTTCATTCTACAACATTAAATGACCTGTAAACAAAAAAAAAATCAATAACCTAGTGATGTAGGGCTGAGCAAAAATATCCAAAAACCCGAAATCCCGAACCGTAACCGTTCCGAATAATTGGGTACCCGAACCATCTAAATAATTTTGGACGGGTAACCGAACCAATAAGAAATTAACGAGACGGGTATTGGGTACCCGTTAAGACAGTTTCGGGTACCCGAAATACCCGAAAATTTAAAAATGCTAAATGAAAGTCCCGTGTTTTGTTTTAAAAAAAAATAAAAATAAATAACCTAATTCTCGTTTTTTCCTCATTTCTGATTTCTCACTCACCTCCATCCCACTTTCTCTCTCCTCCTCCTCCCCCTCCCTTCTTTTGTGGGCATTGTGGCTATCTCCAAGCTCTCAATAATGGCAGAAGAAAAAAATGGTGTACCTCTACGGAGATCTTGACCTCACAATCCACGAAGCTCGCGACTTACCCAACATGGACATCACCTCAGAACGCCTCCGTCTCTACTTCACTACCTGCAACTCCTGCTCCTCCGCCCGCAACGACCATCTTCCGCCGAAAAACTCCATGAACCACCACCTCCACCGCCCGCAAATCATCACCAGTGACCATCTTCTCTCTTCCTGCTTCCCGTATTTTAAAGGGAAAAAAAAAAAAAAAAAAAGAAGCTTATTGGTTCAGTTCGGTTATTTGGGTTCGAGTACCCGTATTTTCGGGTATCCGAATTTATGGGTACCCGTCCCTTATCGGATCGGTTTCGGTTATTGGTTTTGTCCTTATTGGTTATCGGGTACCCGAACCGATAACATTATCGGTACAGGTACCCGTCCCATGCTCTCCCGAGTAACAATATACTAATGTACTATACATACAAATTCAATACATACATTTGCTGTTGAAGAACCAATCTTAGCTCATGTACTATATCAATTTGATTATGCCAAGTGTAGTGATTAAACTTAAAGATTAAAACTTGTATGATATAAAAGGACTTGAAATATTTATGCCTGTAGGTTGAATAAAATTATTTTTCAAATTTATATACAAATATATAAAATTCAATAGGTTTACATGTACAAGCTATAGGACTGAGAATGACAATATTCTCGATCATCTTCCCAAACTATTCCATGATCAGGATTCTCCAAACCTTTTGCAATTCATCTCTAACTTTCTGCAACTAAAATTTGTTATAAACCGAACTGCTGTAAACAATAAAAACAGAACAAAGTTACCGGGAAATAGACTGAGTCGCGGACTATGTCGCTCTCTTTAGAACATTCACGGTACTGCCCTTTAATTTGTGCAAGCAGCTCGTACAACAACCGGATGTTCCCCAGGATAAAACAGCCTTCCTCTATTGTAATTATACCGGTGGAACTGCACAAAACCACCGGGCAACTAAACACCAAAAAAAGAAAAGAAACTGCTCGAGGGTTTTGTTTTTGTGAGGAAAAAATAGAGAGGAGAAGAAGATTGCTTTCTGTATTTTTTGTGTATGAAAAACAGGAAATCAACACGCCTTTTATAGGAAAAATTGCAACGTAACTGCTGCTGTTTAATTAGGCACTAATCACGCAATTAAAACGGTCATCAGTTGAACGTTCAAAACGGTTACAGAAGATTAATGCGTGGCAAAACGTTTAGCAAAAAATCAGTGAAAACGTTTGCATGATTAACGCTCCATTAATCAGTTTTGAAAAAACGGTCAAATGTAATCAGTCAAAAACGTTTAGCAAAAATCAAGGAACTAATCACGCAATTAGCCTTGTCCAAAAAATAAGTTTATTTAATAAACCCGACCCGACCCAACCCAACCCAACCCGGCCCGGCTCGGTTCGGTTCGGCGCGCGTGTGTGTGATAGATGGTTTACCATATAGGTCCTCCCTCTCCACAAAATGTGGGTAGCCCAAGGGCCACACCCCTTTAGCCCACTCTCTATATTATAAAGAGAGTAAAACTCTCATTTCCCACCAATGTGGGACTTTGAGTTTTTTCACAAAATTCACACACTACACACTTGTTGTTCCAACAATCCCCCACTTGAATTTTTTGAAAACATTTTCGAGCAGAATCCATACATATATAGGTTGCGCATAAACAGAAGTGTTTTTCAACTTGAACTTCGACGTAGTGAGTACGATTCAGATTCAACAAGGGTGACTCGAAGTTTTGAACCCTATCTCTGACAACGTACCACATACAACCTACTCTTGGTGTTGTTCTAGACCCGTGCTATTTCGGCCATGCACGTCTATCCCAGTGTAGTGAATGCTCTAGAAATGCTGCCACACATTTCATAGGAAGCGGCCTAACTTCCACATTCACATAGGTGAATCTATCAAGAGTACTCCTGTAGCTTGGTACTCCACTCCAAATTGGAGTATAGATTTCATTAAGAGTTCCTATTAACTCATCCTTGATCGCTTCAGGAAATTATGTCTTTTGAACATATTCAACTCATAACACACCATAACTTGTTATTACCCTTTGAACCTATTTCTTGGGATCTCCAGTTCATAGGTTGGGTTACCATTATGTGTGGTTCATTTCAATGGCAATAGTCCCATTTTCTTAGAGGAAAAATGGACTTTCTCCCTAGCTAATCCTTTCGTCAAAGGATCAGCCAAGTTATTCTCAGTGCGTACGTGATCCACTCTAACAGCTCCGATAGAGAGATATTCTCTCACAGTGCTGTGCTTACGACGTATTTGTCGTCTCTTACCGTTGTAATAACGGTTCTGAACTTTTGCAATAGCCGCGGTACTATCGCAATGGATCAAGACAGCCGGTAATGGCTTTTCCCATAGGGGAATTTCACCTAGCAGGCCTCTTAACCAACCTGCTTCTTCACTAGCCGTAGCTAGTGCTATCATTTCTGACTCCATGGTGGACTGAGCCAAAATAGTCTGTTTCTTAGACTTCCAAGATACAGCTCCACCGGCTATAGAAAAAATATATCCACTAGTAGCCTTAGAGTCATCTGATAAGGTGTTCCAGTCAGCATCACTATAGCCTTCTAGTACAGCTGGAAACCTTTCATAATGCAACCCTAGGTTCATGGTCCTCTTAAGGTATCTCATGACCCTTTCAATAGCATGCCAATGCTCATTACCAGGACAACTAGTAAACCTGCCTAACAATCCCACGACATAGGCAATGTCGGGTCTAGTACAATCAGTGGCATACCGAAGGCTGCCAATGATGCTCGCATAATCAGATTGCCTTACGGCATCACCAGTGTTCTTAAATAATTTAACACTGGGATCATAAGGTGTACTAGCAGGTTTACAGTCAAAGTAACTATATTTCTTTAGGATCTTCTCAATGTAATGAGATTGATCCAAAGAAACTCCATTTTCTGTCCTAGTAATCTTAATTCCAAGGATTACATTAGCCTCTCCTAGGTCTTTCATATCAAACTCAGCATTCAACAATAGCTTTACATCATTCACAGCATGAATGTTCGAGCCAAAAATTAACAAGTCATCCACATATAGACAAATTATAGTGCATATGTCCTTCTCAAATTTTACATATATGCATTTGTCACTACCATTTATCTTAAAACCATGTGAGATGACTAAGTTATCAAATTTTTCATGCCATTGTTTAGGTGCTTGTTTGAGACCATAAAGAGATTTATCTAGCTTACATACCAGATGCTCTTTTCCTTGAACAATGAATCCTTCCGGTTGATCCATGTAGATTTCTTCTTCCAATTCACCGTTCAAGAATGCAGTCTTCACATCCATTTGATGTACTACAAGATTAAAAACAGAAGCAAGAGATATTAATACTCTAATAGATGTTACTCTAGTTACAGGTGAATAGGTATCAAAGAAATCAACATTCTCCCTTTGTCTGTAGCCTTTAGCTACCAAACGGGCTTTGAACTTATCAATGGTCCCATCAACTTTCAGCTTTCTTTTTAGGACCCATTTGCAACCAATTGACTTGCAGCCTGGTGGCAACTCAGTTAGATGCCAAGTTCGATTAGACTCAAGTGAGTCCATTTCGTCGTTCACGGCTTCTTGCCATAAATCTGCATCCACTGAGGTTAGAGCTTCTTGGAGGGTAGAAGGATCCTCCTCTACATTCAGAACTACAAAGTCTGGGCCGAAGTCTTTAGCTACTCTAGCCCGCTTGCTCTTTCTTAGTTCGGGTTCAGCATCCAAGTCTTGTGAGTTAGACCTGTCTTTAGGAATAATAGAGGAGGACGAGCCCCCACTATTTCTAGATTTAAAAGGAAACCTGTCCTCATAAAAATCAACATCATTAGATTCAATAATTACTCGTGCACTTAAATCAAAGAATCTATATGCTTTACTATTAACAGCATAGCCAATGAATACACATTCATAAGCTCTACTAGCTAACTTAACTCTTTTAGGATCAGGAATCCTAACATATGCCAGACAACCCCAAGTTCTGAAATAAGAAATGTTAGGTTGTTTGTTACGAAGTAATTCATAAGGAGAAATCTTACTCTTAGTCTTTGGAATACGGTTCAAGACATAACAAACAGTGAGAAGAATTTCTCCCCACCAATGATCAGCAGCACCAGAATTTAAGGAAATAGCAACTACTAACTCAGTAAAGGTTCTATTTTTCCTTTCAGCCTTACCATTCATTTCTGGAGAATAAGGAGCTGACCTTTCATGTATGATACCATGTGAGTTATAAAACTCTACAAAAGCATCAGTATCATACTCAGTTCCACGATCACTACGCAACCTTTTTATTTGCTTGTTGAACTGATTCTCAAACTCTGTCACAAACAACTTAAACATATCAAAAGCATCACTCTTATTTTTCATCAAATAAACACGAGTATAATCAGAACAATCATCAATAAAGGTGATGAAATATCGTTGTCCATTTCTGGTCAGCGTTCCATTATATTCACAAATATCAGAATGAATTAAATCTAACGGTTCTGAGTTTCTAACAACAGACTTATGAGGTGTTTTTGTAATCTTAGCCTGACTACAAAAATCACATTTATCAAAGTCATTGAGGGAAACATTAGGGGATAAGGCCTAAATTGCTCATATTTTTTATGAGTCTTTTGTTCACATGACAGAGTCTAGCATGCCAAATATTAACAGAAGAAGACAACATATAAGCAGAATCAGAAATTTTATTAATCTCAACATTCAGTTTAAACATGCCATCAGTAGCATAACCTTTCCCTACAAACATTCCATTCTTAGTTAAAGTAAATAAATCGGAACCTATGGTTTGTGTAAAACCAGCCTTATTAAGAAGAAAACCAGAAACTAAGTTCTTTCTCATTTCCGGAGTGTGCAGTACATCCTTCAGAATGAGAGTCCTGCCAGAAGTAAACTTCAACTCAACATTACCAATACCAGCAACATTAGTGGAATGGGAATCACCCAACAGCACTTTCTTATCATCGGTGTTTTCAGAATAAGTTTTAAACATCCGACGATCATAGCAGACATGGCGTGTAGCGCCAGTGTCTACCCACCACCCTTCTGATCCACCAATAAGGTTGATCTCAGTAATCATAGCCACAAGTGGCTCTTCTATCATGCTAGCCTGTGGTACAGGGTTAGGCATGTTCCTGCACTTTCGTGCCATATGGCCTGGTTTTCCACACCTATAACATAGGAATTGACCAGTACCATTCTTAGGGGGTTGAATTTGTTGCTTTCCATCGTTCTTTTGAACATTCTGTTTATTTTTTTTGAAGTTATTCTTCCGGTTCTGAGGCTTGAAGTTCTTACCAGCGGGCTTGAGAACTGCAGCAGAACGCTTAGGAGCATTGTTTGCAGAGAGCTGTAAGACTTCTTCTTTCTGGTCCTGTTTTC